CCCATTGCCAAAGCTGTCTGCAGTCCTGCTAGTCAGCCCTCATCCCCAACCTTTGCAAAAATGCCTAAGAGAGGGCATGTGCAGGGCACTGGCCCCAGCCAGTCAGCCTCTTAGGGCTGTGCCCAGATGTCCTCTGGCACAATTGACATATGCCGGTCTTTTTACACACACTTCCACTTCCCAAGCCAGGCTGAGTCTTTTCCCTGCAAAGAGTTGCCCCCATCTGGCTACTCACACAACTCTGCCCCGGTACCAACACAGTCACCCAAGTGTCCTGTACTGTCCAAAGAACCCAGGTGCAAGGTACTCAAGAGCTGGGGCGTCCCCAGCTCTTGAGAGATTCAGGTTCTATCTACATGTCCGACCTTACTGATGTCTTGTACCTTCTCTGTGCTTCACCTGCAAAGGAGTGGTTGAGCAGAACACCTACCTAGCTCTGATGCTGTGTAATTCGGAAAGCAACAGCGAACATCTCTTTTAGACACTTAACTAGAACTGACACCAAGAATTTGCACCAGGTAGCTCCCAGGAGAAATGCTGAGGGTAAAGAGCTTCTCATACGTGTTGCCCCAGCAGGCGGCACAGATCTGTGTTAGGACCGGTGGGCTTGTTTGTCCCCTATCATTATATGAGCCATGCGAGGGCAGGGATAAGTTCACCTGTATGATTCACCATTGTATTCCCAGCCTCTTGCACAGTGCCTGACATCTAGTATACATTTAATAAATGTTTCTAGAATGAACGAATGAATGGGAAGGAAGGAACTAGGGAGAAGTTAGGTCTGTATGTTATACATCGAAACTGACTTTCCCAAGGCAGTACCTGCTCCCACTTGGGGTACATGCTCCCACAAGTAAGTATGAACTATGGAAACACTAGGGTGCGTTACTTTTCACCAAGACTGGTCTATAAAACCCAGGACGTGAGATCTCTGTGGCCCAGAGGAAGGAGGGAAAAGCTCACAGCAATTAGCTGGCCCAAGCCAGGCTGGGGCTCAAAGTCCTCTACACTGTAACACTCTAAGGACCCAGTTTCCAGGCCCAGATCTGGGTGGAGAGTGTACCCTAGTGTACCCTAGTGTAATACTAGGTGAACAAATACCTACTGTATAACAGGTCCCTGACATAGTTCTCACACTTGTTTAATAAAACACTTAATTTCTTCCTTACAATTTCCTTATGAATTATGTTTTAGGAACAAAGCAATTAAGATTCAACGAGATTCAATAGCGCACCCAAGGATATACAGTTAATAAACACGGGGTAAGAGATCAGCATTTGTCCAGGTTCCAAGGTCTCTGCTTCTCGCATAGTCTTACAGGGGCAAGGTGGAGGAAGGGACCAGGGAGACAGGACAGCCCAAGCCACGGTGGCCAGCCCTGGGGAAGAATGTCCTCCGCCAAGCTGTTGGGACAGCCCATGGGTACCGGGCTGGGAGCCAAAGAGTCAATTTAGGGGGCCAACAGTGCCTTTTGGCGTCCACTCTGACATAAGAACAGAACGGGGTAGGGGTCACCTGAGCTCGCCAGAGCCTGCATCTGGAAACTCGGGTGCTCTGACGTGTTCTCAGTGACGTCGGTTTTTGGAGTGACAGATGCCCTGGATGCCAGCGGCAGAGGTGGCGGGTCCTGCTGTTGCCCGAACCTCAGGAGGCTGGCACAACCCTTAAGCCCGCCCCCGCGGGCCCCTCAGCGACTTGCGGTCACCAGGACTAGCCTGCGGATCCCGGCACGTGGGTCAGCAGGGCGGAGGGCGGGAAATGCGCACCGCGCAGGACTACAAGTCCCACAATACTCCGGGCGGCGGCGGCAGGGAAGGAGGGGGTGCCTTCAGGTGTCCGCGACCTCGGCGCCTCCCGCCCGGAAGTGCCCGAGGGTCCGCTATGGAGGTGGCGGAGCCGGGCGGTGAGTTCCCGCGCGGTGACCGCGCCCACCCCACCGCCCCGGGCCCCAGCTGGCTCCCGCTCGCCCCGCCCCGGGTTCGCCCGTGCCCTCCCGTGGCTCCGGGGGGCGGGAAGATGGGAGGGGTGATGGAGGAGTTGGGGGTGGGGAGGGCGAAGTCTCGGATTCCCCGGGCGGGATCTCGGGTCCGCCTGCGGACTGGGTTTGAAGAGGCTTCCAGAGGAAGCGCCGAATCGGGCCGCCGCGGGGTGGGGCTTGAGTAGCCCGGAGGGGCCAAGTTGGGTGAGGGGGATGGCAGCCCTCGGAAGCTCCGAATTGCCAGAGGGCGGAGATTGACCTATGGTGTGGGGAAGCCTTGGGAAGCAGTCCCCTGCCGCGGGTGGGGTTTGGTTAAATAACGGGGCTGGGGGTGGGAGGCATAGAACCCCATTTTCTTCCCCCTTGCAGAAACTTTCATGATGGAGGAGTAGATAAGCTTTGGGGTAAAATAGACGAAGGAGAATGTAAACTTTGAGATAGTAGATGGAAGATTAGGTAAGCTTTGGGGTGAAGTTTGCTGAGGGTTGAATATAGGGGAGAGGTTGCTTAGAAGATCAAGGCCCTTACATAGAGATAGTGTGTGAATGAATTGGGGAGATGGTTAAAGACCTAGAACTCAGGTTACAAAAAGTTAGGACTTGGGATTTGGTTATGGGAAAGGGCACTGGAGGGAAGTTTGGGACAACCAGGTTTCAGAACAGTATGTGCCCTAGGGTGGAGCTTGAGTAAGGGGGCAGAGGAATCAGGACTGGGAGGGTTTGGTGGGGTGGGGTCAGGAGCGCATTGAAGTTCAGGGGGCTGTTGGCCAGCGAGCCAGCCCCTCATGGGTTCTTTGTGCCTCTCCAGCTCAGTAAGGTGGCAGGCAAGGCAGGTGCCATGGCCTTGATTGAAGGGGTGGGTGATGAGGTGACCGTCCTTTTCGCGGTGCTTGCCTGCCTTCTGGTGCTGGCTCTCGCCTGGGTCTCAACACACACTGCGGAGGGTGCCGACCCACTGCCCCAGCCGTCAGGGACTCCAACACCAGCACAGCCCAGTGAAGCCATGGCGGTCACCGGCAGCATCAGAGGGGAGGCCCCAGGAGCCGAGACCCCCAGCTTGAGACACAGAGGTCAGGCTGCAGAGCCAGAGCCTGGCATGGGGCTCTCAGCAACGTCGCCATTGCCAGACTCCCCCCAGGAGCCCCTAGTGCTGCGGCTGAAATTCCTCAACGATTCGGAGCAGGTGGCCAGGGCCTGGCCCCACGATACCATTGGCTCCCTGAAAAGGTAAGCTGGGATGCGGACAGGAAAGAAATTCTAAAGTTGGGGTGGAAGTGATTACAGACCCGGAAGCACCGCCAGAGAGATCTGAGACTTCCCCCTCCTTCTACAGACGAGGGAACTGCGGTGCCCACATCACACACTGTATCATTCCCCTATAGCAGGAGGGGACCCCCTTAGGGGCCACCACGTGGGTGGGGGTGGAGCCAAAGGTGAGCGGTGGGAGTGTTGTTCTGGGCAAGGGACCAGGACTGCCTGAGGCCTGCTCTCTTACCCAGGTCCCTCTCTCCTCAGGACCCAGTTTCCCGGCCGGGAACAGCAGGTGCGGCTCATCTACCAAGGGCAGCTGCTAGGAGACGACACCCAGACCCTGGGCAGCCTTCACCTCCCGCCCAACTGCGTCCTCCACTGCCACGTGTCCACGCGCGCCGGGCCCCCACCGCCCCCTTGTCCGCCGGGGTCCGAGCCAGGCCCCTCCGGGCTGGAAGTGGGCGGCCTGCTGCTGCCCCTGCTGCTGCTGCTGCTGCTGCTGCTCTGGTACTGCCAGATCCAGTACCGGCCCTTCTTCCCCCTGACGGCCACTCTGGGTCTGGCCGGCTTCACCCTGCTCCTCAGCCTCCTGGCCTTTGCCATGTACCGCCCGTAGTGCCTCCGCGGGCCCTCGGAGGCGTTGCCGGCCCCTCTGGACCTCGCTCCCCACGACACAGTGGGCGTTGTTGTCTGCCCAGGCCCCCCTCTCCGGCCTGCCTCTTCCCGCTGGCCTGGAGCCCGGCCCTGCGCAGCAGAGCAATCCGCGAGTCGGCCGACGCCCCTCCCTGTGACCGCCGTGGCTCCGGGCCACGTCCCCGGGCTGCTGGCTCTCAGCCCCCACTGACAGTCGGCTCCTCGGGGTCAGGCAGCTGCTGTCACTGCCTCGGCCCTGGGCAGAGCCGGGCCACACCCCTGGGCCCCTCTGAGTATCCCGCCTGAGGACCCAGCCACCTCTAGTCCCTAAAGCTCCTGGGGCTGATGTGAGGACCTAAGGACTGAGGGGGCGCTGGGGAAGGGGAGCTGGGAGGGGCAGAGGGATTGTGTGGAACACGTGCAGATTAAATAACTGTGAAGTTTTCACTCCTGGTGTGTGTCTGGGTGCGTGGGCCCGTGGGGGTGTTGGGCGGGGAGCCCTTGCCCACTGGGAAGAAAGGCGAGAAAGGCGCGTACCGGGCCCCGCCACGCGCCCGACCTTACGCGACGGGCGGCCGACTTCCGCTCTCTCTTCGCCCCAGCCTCCGCGCCTGGCCCTTTGGCTCCGCCCCTCCGCCCCCGGCACCGCCCCGGCTCGGCGCGCGCAGCTTCCCGGAAGCGGGGGGCGGGGCGCGCGGGGCCTGATGGGAGCCACGTCTGTGCTGGTCGGGGGCTGAGCCGCGATTGGCGTCCGCACCGCGGTTCGGGGGTTGCTGGGAAGATGGCGGACTCGGTGGCCTGCCGATGAGGAGGCCGCGGGGGGAGCCCGGCTCCCGGGCCCCGAGACCGACTGAGGGAGCGACCGGCGCGGGGCCTGGGGAGCCATGTAGGGGTGGCGCCTACGGGACGGGCTGCGGGAGGGCGGCGGGAGTTGGTGTTGGCGACCGTGACCACGGTCTCCTGGCGTTGCCGGGCCCGGGTGGGTGTGGGGGCCCCTGACACCGCCGACTCCGCGCCATTGCAAAGCTGCGCGCTCGGGCTCCACGGGCGCCCTGCGAGGTGCGCGCTGCGTTCTCGTTTCACGGGCAGAGAGACGAAGTCACTTGTCCAAGGTCATGCAGCTGGTAAGTGGGAGCGCCCAGCATGGAACCCAGGACCGCCCGGCTGCCGAGCCCGCGTTCCACCCTCCTCGCCGCTGCCGCCTCCTGCGGGAGGGGGAGGTGGTCGGGAGGGCGTATCGAAGGGGCAAGCTGGGCTCCAGGCTGGGCACGACCACTAACCCGATTCGTGACCTCGGGCTTAACCCCTTTTCCTCTCGGGGCCTTGGTTTCTCCACCTGTGAAATCGAGGTAGCGCCAGCCCTGCCTACCACCTCAGAGGCGCGTATGGAGCATCAGAGGTGATACGTGGTGCATGTGGACTTGCTTTGTAAATATCCCTGTGCTGAGGACACCAAGGTGCTGTTTCAGAGGCTGGAAGGAGGCGAGAGAGGGGCGGGGTGGGGAAGAAGACTAGAGCAGTCACAAAGAAGGGGGAGCACGAGTGGGTTGCTCTGACCCCAGGGCCCTCTGAATGGGGAGTGAGGTCAGGAGTAGAGAGCCGGCTTTTCTCCCCTTTGGAGAAAACCTCACCCCCTTTTCTGGGCTGCCCCTCAGGGTCTCCATCACCCAACTCCATGCTTCGAGTCCTGCTCTCTGCCCAGGCCTCCGCTGCTCGGCTGTCTGGCCTGCTGCTGCTCCCGCCAGTACAGCCCTGCTGTCTGGGGCCCAGCAAGTGGGGGGACCGGCCTCCTGGAGGAGGCCTCCATGCAGGCCCTGTGCAAGGGCTACAGCGGCTTCTGGAACAGGCGAGGAGCCCTGGGGAGCTGCTGCGTTGGCTGGGCCAGAACCCCACCAAGGTGCGCGCCCATCACTACCCTGTGGCACTTCGTCGTCTGGGCCAGCTCTTGGGGTCTCAGCCACGGCCCCCTCCCGTGGAGCAGGCCACACTACAGGACTTGAGTCAGCTCATCATCCGAAACTGCCCCTCCTTTGATATTCACACCATCCACGTGTGTCTGCACCTTGCAGTCTTACTTGGTGAGGAGGGTGTCTGGGGGGTGGGTGTTAACGGAAGAATAGAGAAAGAGCATAGAAGACCCAAGATCACTGACAGAATTCACCTCTCAGGCTTTGCCAGGAATGGTGCATCCCCTGGCACACTTGGTGCTGCTCCTCTGTATCCACAGCAGACAGCGGGAGGCCAGCAGCATTCGCTCCAGCTTAGCTAGGGGTGCCAACCCTGATTCCTTCCAACACGGTGCTCTAGAAAGCCACTACTGTTTGTCACCGTTGGCGTGCAATGAGAGCTTATTTGCCGTGTTTGTATCAGGCCTTCCCCGCAGACTGTTGTGATACCTCACGTGCACGTGGTATTTCACATTTCTCCAGTGCTTCTGCTTACACTTGTAGCAACCCTTCCATCCAGAACATGGAGACGTGAAAGGTTGGGAATTCACCAACTGACCCCCATGACTGGAACAGAGCAGTTCCCCGTTACCAGGCCTGCCTCCTCTGACCCTCTCCCTCTCAGGCTTCCCATCAGATGGGCCCCTGATGTGTGCCCTGGAGCAGGAGAGAAGGTTCCGCCTCCCTCCGAAGCCACCTCCCACTCTGCAACCTGGCCTGCGCAGTGGGCAGAGATTGGAAGCTGCTCTGAGCTGCCCTCGTTTCCTGAGGCGTCCGCAGCAGCACCTCATCCGCAGCCTGGCAGGTGCTGGAGGGAACTGAAGGCAGGTGGCGGGAGGGCTGAAGAGGAGACAGGTGGTGGTGTCTGGGCCGAGGTGGAATCTAGCTGAGATCTGGCCTGAGGGTCCAGCATAATAGGCTGTTCTTCACAGAGGCCAGGCCAGAGGAACTGACTCCCCACGTGATGGTGCTCCTGGCCCAGCACCTGGCCCGGCACCGGTTGCGGGAGCCCCAGCTTCTGGAAGCCATTGCCCACTTCCTGGTGGTCCAGGAAGCCCAGCTCAGCAGCAAGGTGGGATTACCTCCCACCCTGCCATGCTCCTCTCCTAGCCCTCCTCGGTGTCAGGCCCGGCCCCCTGTTCAGCTTGATTGGCTGCCTCCTGCAGCAGACAACCAGCCAGGCTCTCTGCTCTGTCCCCCCGGGGTTTCATCTTCGCTCACCCCCACCTGGCTTGTCCACCTACCCAGCGTGTATGCCTGGTTCTCTGCAGTTCTCCGCACTCGGCGCTGTCTTAGCTTCGTTGAGCCCACTCCTCTAAGTCTTCAGGGCCAGACCCCACAGCGATGTCTCCTCCACTGGTTTGATTAATCACATGGGGCTCAAGACACTGGTTATGCTGTCGAACTTCTGGTGTGTACGTCGGGGTAGAGGGATTGTTCTGCCTTTACAGAGACATTAGAAGCTTGCAGGCCAAGCCTCCCTGAGGTTCAGCTTGTGAAGGATATTGGAGAACTGTTTCGTGCTGGGTGAAGGGCTACTCTTCCTCCACAGGTGGTACAGAAGTTGGTGCTGCCCTTTGGGCGGCTGAACTACTTGCCCCTGGAACAGCAGTTTATGCCCTGCCTTGAGAGGATCCTGGCTCGGGAAGCAGGGGTGGCTCCCCTGGCTACTGTCAACATCTTGATGTCACTGTGCCAGCTTCGGTGCCTGCCCTTCAGAGCCCTGCACTTTGTCTTTTCCCCAAGTTTCATCAACCACGTCAGCGGTGCGCGGCCGGGAGGGCTGGCTGGGGCCCCGTGGGGCCAGCAGGCAGGGGAAAGTGGGGGTGGGAGCCTGCAGCCCCGCGAGCCTCAGTCCTGCTTTCCCACAGGCACCCCTCATGCCCTGATTGTGCGGCGCTACCTCTCCCTGCTAGACACGGCCGTGGAGCTGGAGCTTCCAGGATACCGGGGTCCCCGCCTTCCCCGAAGGCAGCAAGTGCCCATCTTCCCCCAGCCACTCATCACTGACCGTGCCCGCTGCAAGTACAGGTGGATGGGGCGGCTTGGGGGAGGGGAGGGGACGAGCCTGCGGGAAGCACAGAGTAGAAAAGCCAGGGGGACCCTGAACTGTCCGTGCTGACGCACTCTTAGCAGTAAGAGGGAAAAAAAAAAAAAAAAACGGGCCTTGGGACATTAAAGGCATTTGCCCGGGGTCGAGCCTCCTGAGCCTTTCCCTATCGGTGTTTGCTCCCCCTCCCACCTCAGTCACAAGGATATAGTGGCGGAGGGGCTGCGCCAGCTGCTAGGAGAAGAGAAGTACCGACAGGACCTGACCGTGCCTCCAGGCTACTGCACAGGTGATTCCCCGCGGGCGGGTGGCCGGCCGGCCGGGATGCAGAGCCTTGGCTAGAAGCCAGTGGCCCTTTCTCTTGCCCTTCCAGACTTCCTGCTGTGTGTCAGCAGCTCTGGTGCTGTGCTTCCCGTGAGGACCCAGGACCCCTTCCTACCCTACCCTCCCAGGTCCTGTCCCCAGGGCCAGGCTGCCTCTCAGCCCACCACCCACGACCCTGCCCAGAGGTAAGGGAAGAGGGCGGGAGAGCCTCCCTGCCTCTGTGGACACCACCCTGAGCCATGGTCCGCCCCCTCCAGGGTGGTGCTGATGCTGCGGGAACGTTGGCATTTCTGCCGGGACGGCCGAGTGCTGCTGGGCTCCCGGGCCCTACGGGAGCGGCACCTGGGCCTGCTGGGCTACCAGCTCCTGCCGGTGAGAGCAGCCCCCCGCCCTGCCCTGGGAGAGGCGCCACGCCATCCTGCTGCCCCTCCGCCCAGGCCACAGACCCTGGGGGTAACCTGCTGCTCCCCTCCCCTGCAGCTCCCCTTCGAGGAACTGGAGTCACAGAGAGGCCTGCCCCAGCTCAAGAGCTACCTGAGGCAGAAGCTCCAGGCCTTGGGCCTCCGCTGGGGGCCGGAAGGGGGGTGAGGGGGGTGCACATGGGGCTCAGGATGACCCCCCCCAATGGGGGGGTGGACAGTTTGCACTTTGGCTCTCTATATTTTGGTTTCTCATTAAAGTCCCTTTCCTTCCCCATCGTGCATCTCGTTTCTGGGACAGGGAGCGGGCTGGCCCCCCACCCCTTTTCCATCCACGCTTCCTCCCCGTACAGAGACAGAAGGCCAGGGGTAGGTGGGGGCTGAAGCACTTTACTGGTGGGGGAGGGGGGATGGTATGGGGACTTTAAATTATTCACTTAAATAAAAACGAGGGCGGGGATGGAGAGAGCACCCCCCAGCCCCTGCTCCCTCCGTCCATCTGTCCCTTGGCTGTCGGTCCAGGCAGCCACTACACAGGCATGGGCATCTCGTTGTACTCGTCCACACCCTCCCGTTCATCGAACACTGGCTCCGCCTCATTAGCATCCAGCTGTGGGGGCGGAGGGGTCAAGAAGGTTGATGCTGACCTCAGCCTGGGTGGGGGCCAGCGGGGCTGGGGGGAGGGGCAGGAGGCCTTACACATTTCATCTCTCGCTCGGTGAAGATGCGGGTGAGCACCACCATGCGGAGGGGCACCGTGAGGATGAGGATGAAGGGGAAGGCCAGGGAGGCAGCTGTGGACATGACAGCCCAGAGCAGGGCCAAGCAGAGCAGCTGCAGGGCTGTGAACAGGTGCATTCGGAGGGTCCGAACCTGGGGGTGGGTGGCATAAGACAGGTGAGCCGAGGCTTCTCCCCAGCATTGGAGGGCCCTGGTCCCTTGCAGGGCCATCTGGGCCTGCCACCTCCAGAAGATGGGTGACCCTTTCTCCCTCCACGGGGATGGGGGCAGCAGTGCCTTTTTGGGTGCTTACCAGAGCCAGGTCCGCACAGACTAAACAGCGGCTGAACACAGAGGGCAGCTGGGGGACTGGAGAGTGACCCCCGCAGACCAGGATGGGGCAGAGGCATGGGGCTCTTCCAAGTGGGATCTTACCTTCTTGACGTAGGTCACGTCTGGGTGGTGTTTGGGGGGCATGAGCAGCAGGTGCAGCCGCTCGTAGAACTGGATCCCGTTAAGGGAGGTAACTCCCATATACAGAAAAATTCCAAAGAGCACAGCCAGGGGTATCTGCCGGAGCAGATCCCCGATAACCAAGGAGAGACCTGGGGTGGGGAGAGGGAGAAACAGCTGGCCCCAGGGCTCCCCACCCCCAGAGACCGCCCCGGGGAAGGGTGGAGCAAGAGGTCAACGTACCTACAAGCAGGGCAACCAGCAGGCCTGTTACACGCTGCTCCTTGACCTCCTGGATCTTGGGCTTGTCCCCGGGCGCCACAGCCTTGCTCATGACAGTAAGCGCGTTGGCGTGAGTGACAGAGCGCACGGTGGCAGCAGCCAGCCAGGGCAGGCCAAAGAGGGCACAGATGCCGCCCATGGCCACAATGAGCAGCAGGTCCAGGTGGAAGCCGGAACCCTTCTGCAGCATGCGCTCCTTCTTGGAGATGATCAGCCTGAGTGGGACAGGCACTCCCTGATGCCCACGGCCCTGGGCCCAGCTGGGCAGACAACTTTGTCTTTCCAGAGCATCCAGCCAGGAGCCTCTGTCTGCTTTCGGAACCTGGCGGTCGGGCCCTGCCCAGTCCATCAGGACAAGAGTTCTGTCATGGGGCAAGACCCTCTCCATGCCGCCCTCCCTGCCCTTCAGGACAGCTTCAGGCCTCTACTGTGCCCGTCCCAGCAAACGTCAGGGGAACGTTCTACCGCCTACAGAATAAATCCTAGGGGCACCTGGGTGGTGCTATTGGTTAAACGTCCAACTCTTGGTTTCGGCTCAGGTCGTGATCCCAGGGTCACGAGATCAAGCTCAGCGCGGAGAGTCGGCTTGAGATTCTCTCCCTCTCCCCGTCTCAAACAAATAAATAAACGTTTAAAAACAAATTCTAGGGGCCAGCCTGGCATCCTGGGCTTCCCTCACCCAGTGCACCCATATCTCCTCGCCTCGCTGGGGCTCCAGCCCTTCCACAAACATCATTCCTGTCTGCAGAGCACCCCCCTCGGCTAGGACCACTCACGTGGTGATCTGCGTCTCCATGAAAATCAGGATGAAAACCAGGATGGCAGGCAGCAGGCTGGCAACCATCATCCACACGGGGAAGGAGCTGTTCTCCCCCAGAGGGTTGATGACCCAGCCCCGCTTTTCTGGGGCTGTCACGGAGACTCCACTGGGCACGCTCAGCTTCTGTAGGGCAGAGGGTGGGGCCAGGGGCCGGTGAACGGTGGAGGGGGAGCCCTGAGGTGCACTGGGCAGGCCAAGCACCGAGGGCGTGCTGTGGGAAGAGGCCTGGTGCCTGCGCAGTTGAGAGGCAGCTCTGTGGTTGGGCTGGAGGGGAATATCCAGAGCCCGGTGCCAGGCGGCATCTCCACCACTGCCTGCGCCCCACCTTACCTGGGTATAGGTGTCCTCAATACTGTAATCCACAAGCACCATGATGAGGATCGCGATGGGCACCCCAAAGTCCCCAATCACCCGCCGCACCTGTGGGCAAGCACCGTGCTCAGAGGCCCCCCGCCCCGCTCTGGCCCAGACTCAGCCACCCTTTCCGGCCGGTTTTCCCCTCCACCTCAGGCATCTCAGCCCACACACCCGGCCAGGGAAGAACCGGCTATTCTTGAACTTGCGCAGGAAGAAAGCGATAAAGAAGGTGCCGGCCATGAGCACCAGTGACAGCAGGGCAGTGTTGGGCTGGCCCCGGGGCCTCCCCTGCCCAGCTGGCCCCGGGGAGCTCCCATTCCCTGGCCCCAGCATGGATTCTGCCCCATGCCATGTGCTGTTCTCGTCGCTGTCCGCCTCAGAGCTGTTGGAGACCGAACAGCCGTGGAGTGGATGTTCCTGGAAGATCTAGGGAGAAGACAAAGGACTCCATCAGCCAAAGTGGAGAGATATATGCTGAGTGGGGCAGGCAGGGGAGAAGATGACAGGTCTGGCCTTAAGGAGCTTGCTTTTTGGTTTTTTGTTTTAATTTTATTTATTTATTTGACACAGAGAGAGAGCACGAGGAGGGGGAGGGGTAGAGGGAGAGGAAGAAGCAGACTCCCCACGGAGCAGGGAATCTGACGCGGTGGGGCTCGATCCCAGGACCCTTAGATCATGATCTGAGCCGAAGGGGGACACTTCACCGACTGAGGGACCCAGGTGCCCCGGGGCTTGTCTTGTTGATCAAGAAAATGACTGGTGACCAGATGGGAGCAAGGGAAACGGGATTCAGGCAGCTGGGGGTGTGGCTGCAGCCAGGCCTGGACCAAGGGGGCGTGTCCTCTCCTAAGCCTGACAGGGGCACAGCTCTGAGGACCAGACTGTGACTATGTGTCACCTCGGGGGCCTTTCTCTTTGATACTTCTAGATTGTCTGCCACTTTAACAAAAGGACGTGTTACCTTTGTTGTTAAAAATATGAGTTTCTAAGACTGACCTGAAGTCCCGGGACGTGTGTTGGTGACAGGGAGGGTGGAGAGGGGCCGGGAGGAAGAACCAGCCCATGCTCCGTGGGCTCCTTGGACTGCCGCCCAGGGGAGCTCTGGGCTAGCCTGGGACCTCCTACCCCGAAGTGAGAGTGCGAGAGGGGCAGAAGGCGCCCCGGCTTACTCCGGAGGTCTCACCCCTCCTGACCCCAGCTCTCAGCAGGGCCTGCTCACCTTAACCAGCTTGTAGAACGTCTCATAGATGAAGATGAGGGAGATGAGGAAGGCAAAGATCTCCTGGGTGAAACGGGAGACAAAGCGCACCAGGAAGCTCCCTTCCAGGGCCACCATGAGCAGGGCCAGGAGCACCAGCCAGAAGCCGATCCACACGCGGCCCACCAGGTACTCTAGGTTGTTGCTGCTGCAGAACTGGGAGGGCATCCAGTCAGGTTCCAGAGCCCGGGGGCTAGCAAAGTGGGCATGTTTGGGGAACAGGAGGGGCAGCTGGAGCAGGGCAGGAGGAGCCAGCCCCCTATTAGCCTGTGGGCCCTTACCGAGAAAAAGGCCTCCTCAAAGACCAGCAGGGGCCCGGAGAAGCCGATCACCAGCAGCGGCTGGGCCCCCAGCAGGCAGAAGACCACACCCTGGAGTGCCGTGGACATGATCAGCTCCGACACCCCAATCAGGTCCTGAGTCTTCTCTCCTGGGGTGGCAGGAAGCGGCTCAGGAGCTGGCAGCCAGGGCCCTGGGCATGCCCTGCCCACCGCCCCCCGCCCCCCGCAGCCGCTCCTTACCCAGCAGCCCCCCAAAGGTGATGGCAGGAGACAGGGCGGCGAAGTAGATGAAGATGACAGCAGCCAGGCACTGGGGGTCGAGGGCGTCCCGGAAGTCACTCAGGTAGTGGGGGTAGCGGCGCCGAACATCTCGGATCAGGCCCCCAAAGGGCCGGCCCGTCCGCTGGAGGGGATCGTCTTCGACTGCACCTGCCACCTCTACCATCTGCAGGAGCGCTGCAACCCGGGCCTCCGTCAGGGCGCCCGCTGCGGCCCCTCTGCGCTCGGCCCCCTCCTCCACGTTCACGCAGACCACCCCGACCCCCTGCCCCGGGCCCATACTGGCCCGTACCCTTCTCTTGTGCTGACTTGGGCTCCAGCCCGGCCCCGGGGGGCAACAGGCGGCCCTGCTCCTCCCGCTTCTTGAGCATCTGGCGTTGGAAGTGAGCAACAGAGCGCAGCAGTTCCTCGCCCTGCACTTCCGAGGGCGGCAGCACCACGCTGCAGTCCAGGAAGGCATTGATGGCGGTCAGCAGGTCCTCCCGCTCGTCGGCCAGGTAGGCTGCCTCGTGGAATTGCTGCCAAAGCAGGCCCAGGGCTGGTGAGGGGGCGGCGCGAGGGCCGGGGGAGAGCACGGGGCGGGGGGCGGGCGTCCCGTGGGCGCCGGGAGGGCCTGACCTTGTCAGACATGAGGGTGGAGATGGAGCGGCCGATCTCGTGGTAGTCCATGTTGGCGCTGCTGGGGCCCAGAAGCAGGAAGAGGAAGCGCACGGGCACGGGCACCTCCAGCACCGCGTCCAGCTCCACCGCCTCTCGTAGCCGTACAAAGGCCATGGTGGGGCGGGACAGGAACTCCACGCAGCCTAGGGGTAGGGCGCCATCATGGG